TCTCTCTCTCTCTCTCTCTCTCTCTCTCTCTCTCTCTCTCTCTCTCTCTCTCTCTCTCTCTGCGATTTTTTCCAAAATTCAACCAAAATTGCTGAAATTGACGACAAAACAAGATACATTTCGGTTATTTTTGTCTGATTCCAGGTAATTTCGAGTAGAAAACCTCTTATTTTGTATATTTTTATGATTGAATGTGTTTTTGTAGAATGGATGTTGCTTTTCTTTAGGCTTTTGCGACTGATTTTGTAAGTTTTGGTCGAGTTTTTGTATTAATTTCTTCACAAATTTCTGTAACCTTTTTTCGTATATTTTTTTTAAAAATTTTGTCATTGAACCTAGTTTCAATTTTGAAACAGAGCAATATGAGAAGACAAACTCGTTCGATGAGTTCATCACCTTATTCAAAGTCGATTTCAATTGAGAAATCGAGCAACATGAGAAGAGAAACTAGGTCGATGAGTTTATCTCCTCATTCAACCCTGGTTTTAGTTGACAAGTCGATTGATGAACAAAATATGCGAAGACAAAATCGTTCCGACAGTGTTAATGTGTTAGAATCTCGAAAGGATATTGTTGGAAAATCTGAGAAAAAGAAGAGCAAGAGGGTTATAATGGATGCTGATCAAGGTAAGAGAAAACGTGTCGTGGAGGACGAAGTGAATTTGGGTGTCAAGCCAAAAAAAAACAAGGTTCAAAAGGCAGAAAAAGTTGAAATCCCTGACAAAGTTTGTAAGGTATATACAATTTCAGTTATACTTTTTAAATCTATTGTTGACTCCTCTTTTAAAATTTGGATTTAGTTTGTATTTTTTTGTTTTTAATTCGTGTCATGTATTTGTAGCCTTGGAAGCTCTATATTCCAGTTGGTGAGCCGTTTCCTGTTACTCATTGGTCATCATACACTAATGTGGACATTGTATCGGTTTTACGGTCAAAGTTGACTGATGTCCAGCTTCGGATGTTTAGGGAAAGCTGTTTTGGCTATTTCCTCGATTTACCTCGAGTTGCTATCCAGGCACAACTTATTCGTTCTTTAATGTTTAGGGAGTTGGTTCAAGATAAGTGTGATCAATTTTATGTGAAATTGAATGACGAATGTGTTTTACGTTTTGGTCTTCGAGAATTTGGTATTGTAAGTGGTTTAACCTGTTGTGGTAATGAACATGTTGAGGGTAAATTCAGTGGACCCAATAGCTTGGTGGATACTTATTTTTCTGGTTTGAAGTGGTGTCAAAGAAGTCACTTATTGATTGTTTTGAGAAGAAGAAATGCCAGTCTGATGAAGACGCAATTAAGATTGCAATCATTTATTTCATAAACACATTTCTAATGTCCACTCAGGCTCAAAAGACATTTATAAGTAAACGTGATTTCCATCTTGTCGAGAGTGGTGAGTATGTGTCGTTTCCATGGGGTAAGATTGCGTTTCGAGCTTTAATGAAGTCGGTGAGGGACAGGTTTGAGGGGAAAGTCTGAGTTTTATAGGATTGGTGGATTTCCTCTTGCACTACAGGTGTGGTTCTATGAATGTTGCACTGTAGTTGATCAAAAGTTTGCTGTTCGCGTTGGAGATCATACACCACGCATATTGAATTGGGAAATGACAGACAGGCCAACGCGTGAGGACTTCTCTACTGGTTTCATCAACAGCACAGGGAATAAGGCACCATCTTTTATGTCTTGATGGGATATACATTTATAATACACTGTAATTCATTATGATACATCAAACATACAGTTTTTATACATATTTGATACATCTAGGACTGAATCACTTTTGGTTACCTTTGTAGTTTAAAAATATCTCTCCGACAATTAAAGAGCTAAGGAGATTTACTTTGCCTGTTGAAGTTACCGATGAGTATCAGAAATATTTGACATCACGTAACAGGGGAAAACTTCCTATTGATGATAGCGATGATTTTGTCACGCCATCCCCGAAACACATTAAGGAGCTTGTCCCACCAAAAAAGTCGCCAAAAAATGCGCCAGGTGTCCAACCTGTTGATTATGACCGTGAGTTGCAGAAGTTGAAAGCTGATGTGAAGCAAGTATGTATTGATCTTTTTTATAAGTATTGTTCAAATTGTATATTTAAAGTCTATTATCTTTCTTATTTGTTTCATCTTGTAGCTCCACAAGCAGTTAAATTCCTTCATGGATTATGTTTCTGATAAATTCAATGAGCTCTTTGAGTTGATAAATTCCAAGGTATCTGTTTCTTTTCCATTGTGCATTTCTTTTTCTTTTTTAGTTAACTTACTATATCTTTTTTTTTTAAATATCTTGGTGCTAACGAAGTCAAATATGGTGCACATCCAGAGGAAGACACCAGTGGTCGTCAAGACAATAATGATTTTGTGAGCAATATGGAGTTTGATGCCAATGAAGATGTTGAAATGGATGGTTGTCAGGTGTGTTTAGTTGTGCATTCTGCACTTTTCCCTTTTCTTTTCTTTGTTGTTTTGATAATTCGATTCTTTTTAAAAGAAAATAGGTCGGTGGAAGTGAAGGCAAAGATGTTCCACATTCTCAAAGAGATACTAGTGTAGCAGATCAGTTTGGTGTCAATGTTATGGAAGGACCTTCTGGTGTGAAAGTTGACATGTTTGTTGCTAAAGTAACTTTCACACCAGATGTAGCACATGCTGGCGTTATTGGTGAGATTGCAGATGCGGCGGCAGGGGAGACGGAGGAAGAATCTGAGAAACAAAAGGTTCCCGAATCCCGGACTGGTGCTGTTTGCGCGACTGCAAGTGTTGATGCAGCGGTAGGGGAGACGGAGGAAGAATCTGAGAAACAAAAGGTTCCTGAATCCCGGACTGATGTTATTTGTGCGACTGCAAGTGTTGATGCGGCGACAGGGGAGACGGAGGAAGAATCTGAGAAACAAAAGGTTCCTAAATCTCGGACTGGTGCTGTTTGTGCGACTGCAAGTGTTGATGAGGCAGGCAGGGGAGATGGTTCTGTACAATGCTGAATTACTTCCTGAAGTATCGCCGCAAATGGAAAAAAGAAAGAGATGTCCTGCAAAGGCCGTGCAATCTATTTTCATTACTGTGTTTGATTTAGGTTCCAATACTGGTGTTGTTGCAGCGAAAGGAGAAAGGCAAATTTATGCTATTAAGCATCCTTTTCAAAGCAAAATCGGAACTGGCGTTAACAGCTCTTTGTTGAATGTATTTGCTGCATGGGTCAGAGAAGGGAAGTCCATAAAGAAGTATGTTTCCAACTTCTGAGTTTTTTTCAGTTTTATATTTTAATATATTGTCACTTATAGCATTATTTTATATCAAATCACTGTACTCTTTTGTGTATATATGTTACTAGGAATGAAATTTACCCGAAACATGTTAGTGAACTCAATCCTGCTTATGATCTTGGTGTATTTCATGTTGACAACAAAAAATGGTTTTACACTTTGGCATATAATGGTCAGTCCTTGGATGACTCGGCATGTAAGAATTAACTTTTGCAGTTTTTTTTTTAAATTTTAGCCAGTGTACACATGAACACTCAGTCCTCTTAAGTTAGAACAGATTATTAATATCTATTTCCTGGCACAAGAGATAGCAGTGAGCATTCATTTTCCTTTGTTCTCTGTGATTTTGGTTTGAAAAATCTTAGCTGCTTAAAGCTTACGAGCCTTTAGTGATTAGTTATTTGTTATGTTTTGTTTCAGCACATTGATGTTTTGTTCTATTATCTGAGGAAGAAGGGGAAGTATGACAAAGACCTACCTATAACCTTCACCACCACAGATTGGTACTTCGACGAGAAAATTAATGAGTTGTGGCAGGCGTTTATTGATACAGATGGAGACAGTGATGTGTGCACTCCGGAACATGTCATTGCAGAGTATATTCAAGGGTTTGTCTTGGATGCCAATGTTCCATGGCACACTGTCGAGCATGTCTTAATGCTAATTAATGTTGCAAAACAATGGCATTGGATAATGGCTGTGATGTCCTTCAAGGATAGGTGCATTTATGTGTATGACTCTACGCGCGGTGGAGCTGCTCATCAAGCCAAAGTTCATACGACCATGGCCAAGTATTCTATGTTGCTGCCTCATTTTTTCGTGCACACGCACTTCTATTTAAACAAAAAAGATATCAATTGGCGCACTGGTGTCTACAAATCAAAAGACTTGATTACCTCCTTTGATGTAAAACTGGTCGAAGGATTGCCTCAACAAGTCGAAGCGTATGAATTTCTTTCAACACAATCTGTCTTGTTTTAGATTCTGCAGTTTGATAGTTGTTGTTCTTTTTATTTTTGCAGTGATTGCGGTGTATTTGCGGCATCATTTGCCGAGTATTTCATTGAGGGCAAGACGCCTCCAAAAAAATTCAATGCCTATGCACACCGGTGCAGATTTGGTGCTCTCTTGTGGGATTATGCTAGAAACAAGATGGAACTGAACGCGTAAAGTGATGATGAGATTATTGGTCGACAGAATAAGTCGCGGAAGCAAAAGAAGTAGTTACTTTTGTCATTGTTTTAGGATAAACTCTATAATTTTGTTTTCATATTGTGTTCTGTTATGTTGTCATTGTTGTAAGACGGATCAGATTTGTTTGTGTTTGAATTTTACGAATACTTTTAAGAATTGTATGGCAAATGAGATGTTTGCTCTGTTATAAAGGTTTAATGAGTTTCAGTGCGATATTTGATTGTTGCAGTTTAGTTTATTTTGGTGTTTTCTCCCTTGATTTTGTGTTGTGAATTATAGATATGAAAAATATACGGTAGTTTGTGATACATTGTCTCTTGCAGATACACGCATGATACATACATGATACAAATATGATACACATATGATACATACATGATACACATATGCTACATAATTTTCAAATATGTATTGATGAAGCCACTCTTATTTGCAAATTTCTAAAACTATTTGCATAGTTTTCTAGTTGCTACGACTGTTTTCCATTAGTTAGCTTTGTTACTACACAAATACAGGCATGAGTAAGAGCCAATACACAAAGATACATAGGTGATACACAAGCGATACATAGATGATACAAATGTGATGCACAAGCGATACATATATGATACAAATATGATACATAGCTGATACAACTTCTTTTTAATCAAACAGATGTATAATATAAACTTGCAACACGATTTTAATTGATAGGTCAAATATTTATTTATATCTAAAATTCAAATGACATTATACAATGCTATAGTTCTTGATATATTGCATTCTTCTAAATCTCTATGATATTTAGTAAAGTAAAATAACAAGTAATTCTAAATTTGACATATTTCATCCTCTCTTTGGATTATTTCTACAAGTTTTCCTGTTGTGACCTTCTTCTCCACACTGTCCACATGAAATCGACCTTTTTCGTTCCCTTTGAGATATTGTCTTGCACCTCCCCTTCCTCGGCCTTCCTATTATTTTAGTCACGTCTGGTGGCAAGACTTTTTCATTTAGAACTTCTGCAGGAATTTCCCATGTTCTTTCATCAGGAACCGGATAAATTAGAATTTCATAGGTCTTCAGTAGGTACTTCGTGGTGTAGTACACCGAGCAATACTCAATGTGATCAATGTATTTGTATTTTAATACTGCCCAAGCATGTGCACATGGCAGCTCATCCAACTGAAACCTTCTACAGCTGCAAGTTCAATCTTTTAGGAAAACCATTCTCTGCTTACCCTTGTCAAGTACTGAATATAAGTAAGTCGTCGAAGGGGTCACCTATAAAATTTACACAGATCCGTGAAATTCGGCATGATTACATATTCTATGCGCAAGTATCTACAGATTCCAGTCATACCTTCATCTGATGTGACAATTCAAGATTGTCCATCAGCATTGTATCATATTTTTTTCAAGATCAGTGAATGACTCTACTGCATTCTTTAGGTTTGTAACATTCCATCGTCCGGTCAATTTCCTTATGTAGTCTAGCAAAGGCAGTACTGGGAGTTCCCTAGCAGCCTTGAGTGCTGCATTGATCGACTCCGCAATGTTTGAAGTCATCGTCAATGTTCTGTTGACAGTGGAATGTGCTCTGGACCATCTTTCATACCCAACATTCATTAAGTAATCTTTGACCCTCTTATCAATTTTCTCTACCTCTGCCATGTGGTAATCAAACTTGTCAACTGTGTAGGCTTTGGCCATAGCAAAGAATATGTCTTTGAGCAGCAAATGATTTTTTTTGTAATTTTTTTTACATTATTCCATAGATGTCATATGTAGACACAATGAGGTACTTGTGGATACAATGTTGCCGCTGCATTTTCAATGCCTTCATGCCTGTCCGAGACTATGCACATTCCCTCCCTTTCCTCAAATGCATCCTTGAATCTAGCAAAAAATCATTCCCAGGAAGCATTATTCTCTGAATCTACTATGGCATATGCGAGTGGTAGGATATTACCTGCTGGATCTTGTGTTGATGCTATCAATGATGTTCCTCTATATGCCGATTTAAGAAAGGTTCCATCTACAACAACAACCGGTTTGCATTACTGCCATCCTTTTATAGACGGATATAGTGCAACGAAAGCATACATGAACAAGTCTTCCTCTATTTTTTTCAAACTTACCACCGAGATAGGATTTGTAAGAACCAGCATATAAAAGTAGCTTGGCAGCTTTTCATATGATTCGCTCGGGTTCCCTCTCAGTACTTGAACTGCATATTCTTTCGATCTACATGCTTGCATATATGTCATCGAAGACCATACTGCTTGTTCATGTCTCCAATTATGTCATTAGGAGTGTATAATGTTTTTAGGTCTTTATACTTGTCTATCAGAAGGCTGCCGATGAGTTTTGCAGTAGCTTGACGTTGTGCGTAAGATCTGTCTTTCAGGGGGCATGAGTGCACTTTGCTGAAATTTTTGACCTTGAAAACGTTTGCTTTTTTCAGGCTCGAAGACTTAAAATACCAATCACAGTTGTTGTTGATGCATACTAGGCAGTACCTACGACAAGGATATAAACTTTTCCATCAATAAACAGAGCGACATGAAATACAATGATATATAGTGATACACACCGCCATCAACAATACTAGATGAAAAAATACAACGACTATACAGTACTAGACGGTGACAACCACAACTTAAAAGTGTACTACAGCCACATACTTACAGGCAACAACTTATTTTCTGCATAATTGTGCTTCTAACATCAACTACGATATACATTGAGATACATAATTATGCAATAAATATTTTGATACCTGCTTTCACTTGATCTATGCACCTTAAACTGGAATTTTTCCTTTACCGCCAAGTGCCTCATGACTTTGATTATCGTTGCCCTGTCTTTATAAATTTGACCTTCTTCTACATCTATGTGTTGAGGGTCAGTTATTATTATATTTTCATCAGATTCTGTATTATTTCAGTCTTCTCCATCCCCAAACTCGATCATCTTACTTGTATCGCCATTGTATCTCTCCTCTGCAACTGAGCTTTATGCACATTCTGAGGAAATCACAGCAGAATTGAAATTGTAGCAGATCATCTCCATATCCTTTTCACTCGATGTTATACAAAGGGGATACATTGTAAATTCTGAGCTTTTTTTCAGCTCAAGATATACACATACACCCATACTATTGTGTATCACTATTGGCGGAGAACCGTTTTGGACAGTGTATTTGATTTCAATATCATACAATGAAGTATCTATCATAAGATCACGTCTACAAAATCTTCAAAAGTTATATTTGGAGTAACTATTACAGCATCTGCATTATAATCTACAAAGCAGTTGTCAACATTCCATCGGCCACCATACTGAATAAAAATTGGTAAATTTGCCATTGAAGTAGCTGCAATTAGGTCAAAACTCACTAATTCTTTGATTGATTTTGATTGCAGTTCGTAGTTCCTTCTACACAAAAATTTCAATAGCCGTATCTACCCAGAAATTGCGAAGGTATATAGTGAAATTGATCGATTTTGAGTGAAATTTGGAGCTCCTTTTGAGAATATTTTGAGAGAGAATCCCGTGATTTACAGAGGTAGAGAATGTCGTGATCTGTTAAATTGATACGCTTGAAAAAATAGGGAAGGAAAGAAGATCTTTAGCGTGATTCTCGGATAGAAGAATCCTTCCTTACGCGTATCTCTAATTTTGGGCTACTTTTGGTAAGTGTCTAATTTTGGGCTAGAGGTTAATAAGTTTGTATTTAAATTGGCTATTTCTGTACTTTTCCCATTCAAAAATAGCCAGATTTACAAGTTGGCGTTCAAAAATAGCCCAGTTTCAAAAGTAATCGAAATTTAGCCACTTTTCATATAAAGATAAATCTGAGCGAAAACGCTGTTCAAAACCCGAAAAATAGCCAGTATATTATGCTGGAGTTCCAGCATAAGTATACTTGAACTCCAGCATATTATACTGGAGTTCCAGGATAAGTATGCTGGAACTCCAGCATAATATGATGGAGTTCCAGCATAAGTACACTAGAACTCCAGTATAATATACTGGAGTTCCAGCAAAGTATATCGGTCCAGTATAATATGCTGGAAGTTCATACACAAGTGCTCGAATCTCCAGTATATTATGCTGGAACTTTCCGTGTGTTGGAGTTCCAGCATAATATGCTGGAAGTTCATACACAAGTGCACCAAACTCCAGTATATTATGCTGGACCGGTCTCTGGGCTATTTTTCATTGGCTTGGTAAATGCTGACTATTTTTGAATGACCAGTCCGAAAACTGGCTAGACCGTGCTATTTTTACTTTGTAATTACCTGGATGATTTTGAGAAAACTCCTTATTTTAAAAATGCTTTTATTTAAAAGTATTTTTTCAAAAAATACGTTTACAACCCAATTTATTTGAGTAGTGCTCTTTTGCAAGCTCATTGTGGTTGGCCAATTTTTTCTAAAAGTACTTCTAAATATAAAATTACGAAAAAAGATAGTAAATATTCAGTTTGCAATTAGTATTATTTAAAATATAAAAATAAATTTAAATATTTATTATGAAAAATTAATTAAAGCATGAAGTAAAAATATAAATTAAAATTTTAATCAATATAAAATATAGTTATTTTCAAAGCAATAATATTGAGTATCTAGTATATTACTTATTGTTTACATGAATTTAAATATATCAAAATATATGATTCAATATCAATTAAAAATATACCCTTAGTAATTGGAGAAAGAGAATAAAAATATGACTCAAGTAAAAGAGAGAAGAAATGTATGGTAGAAATAAAATAAGAAAAGAAAAATATTAAATTAATGATGAATAATTTAAAAATATAAATTTATTGTAAGGTTATTTTTGTCTTGAACAAATTAATTTTCTGCTTCTTGGAAGAAGTTAGAATTTGTAGCTTCTCCCC